TATATATATATATATATTTATGTGAGTAGAGTTTTATTTATACACAAATTTTACCCATCACACTTATATAAAATTTTAACTATCTCTTTACTTTTAATAGTTAAGATTTATTTATATTTATTTAAAATAATAATTATATTTTTATCTAATTTCCTTGGATTAAATACTGTCCCTCTCCTCCAATGGGTTAGATCAATCTTGTACCTTTTAACTAATTTATTATGTTTTGGTTTCTATGTTACATGGAATGAATATCTTTGAAGAAGGTAGGAAGTATACTGAATCGGGCAGTCTATGAAGAAGCCTTTCGCTAAGCACATCCTTTCTTTTCATCAAGTTGCATTCTCAACCTTCTTCAAAACTCTCGAATTGATCAAAAAACAATAGTTCGACGCTAGAAGGTATACTTTTTTTTTTCTTAAGTTTTGTACATATATATATATATTATTAGCAATTCTTGTGTATTTTCTTCACATTCAATATATATATGTGTGTGAAAAATCATTAGTACAACCTCTATTTTAATTTAATACACTTGTGAACATCTATTCAGTTTAATAAATTAAAATATAATATAAATATAATCAATTAAGTTTAATTGGTTCCTCATGTTATATGTATGACTACATATTTAAATGTTTTCACATTGAATTTCAGACTAAATAATAATAATTTTTTAATAAATATATTGTCAAGTGTGGTAAATTAAAACGTTGTATAAGTGTCTTATATATATAAAGTTGGGATCCACTAACAAGCCTTATGCATTAGATTTACACAAAATTTCAACCATTTATTTTTTTCATTTTTAATTGTTTTTGATATATCTTTTTCGTCTAATTAATGAATCTCAATTATTAAAAATGAAAAGATAAATGATTGAGATTTTATACAAATTTGATATATAAAACTTGTGTGTAAGTAAATTTCTACTATACATAAAAGAAAAGTGAGTATTTGTATTGCAAAAAATTAGGTAAAAATATTTGAAAACTATGTCATTTTAGTAAAATCTTATTAAAAAACTAAAACATCTTAACTATTTTAAAAATAGAAATAAGGATATTTTAACCTTTATATAATACTTTATTAAGATAATGTAATTTGAAAGTATTTTTTATCTAATTTTTTAAAAACATGACCGGTAAATATTAACATATATGTATATTAATTTCAATTTTCATTGGAATAATACTCTCCCTCTCCTCCAAAGGATTAGATCAATCTTCTACTTTTTAACTTATTTGTTACATTTTGGTAGATAGAGGATACTGAAGCGTGCAGTCTGTGAAGAAGCCTTTCGCCTGGCCCAGCATTTCTTTTCGTCATTTGGAGAAAGCACAATCCACAAAAGCAAGGTGCAGTTCTTTTTTTTTTTTTTTAAATATATCGTTAACTGTTATCTTATTCTTTGAATTTGTATGGTACATTAACAGTATTTATATTGCTATTCATTTTTTAACGAATTTTTGGATAGGGGATTAAGTTGGTTTCAGAAATAATACTCTTATATTATTGTCAATTTAGAAAGAGAAAACAATCTTTAAGTTATTCTGTAAAAAAAAAAAAAAAGTACACGAATATCGGTGAAATAAGTTTATTGGTATTTATGAACTTTCTTTCTTGCAAGTCAAAATGTAAAAAAGACTTTTCTGAATGTGGCACTTAAGAAAATAATTATGCAATAGGACAAATTTACCCTTACAAAAAAAAAAGATAAATCAGCTACCACCTTTTTGAGTTGGACAAATTGGTGAAAATAAAAAGTTTGACGTCATCCTCCCTGAGCAATCCTTTAACTCCAAGCTTAGCTGGCCAACACGCTGGACGCTTATGTGGCCCCCATTAATTGATTTGTACTTAGCACATTCCTAAATTAACCTTTACATTGCTTTAAATTTATAAACTCATGCCACTATCTAAATTTTCTTTAGCTAAACCAGATCTACATTTCAATTTTAGTCCCTTTTTTTTCATTTTTTTCTTTTAAAGAAAAGGTCTACATATCTAGGTGATTACCCCATGTCTGGACCCTATGCCAATTCTGCTCACAAATGGGTTCCATTTCCTAGGTAAAAGCTTTCAACATGATTACCATATGACCAATGACACCTTCAAAATTTCCAAACATGTCAATTTCAAATTCAAACAAAACGTTTTCACCTTTTGAAGGATTTATGATGTATTTTCAATGAAATATTATGGAAAATCCACAAGTCTTATCTTTATTTCCTTTGAGATGAAGAAGCGAACCCATGGGGTATTTGATGAGAACCCAGATCTGAGTTCTCACTGGGTTCTCAAAATCAAAATCTAGATGACTTCTTCGAAATCCATCTTCGAATCTTCAAATGCCTCGTGTAGATCTCCTACTTCCTCCAAATCTTCCATAATTTTTTAAATTTTTTGTACGGTGCTTGCCATCTCTTCCTGGAGATATCGGAGGTGGGTTGAGGGGCTTTTAAAGGAAGATTAAAAAGCAGCTATGGAAGCCGCTGGAGTTGGTTTTGTAAGGGACAAGGAAAAAGCAACAATGGAAACTGCTGGGTTTTGTTGGTGTGGAAACTGGAAAGAATGAAAGGTTGAGAAACTTTACCCATTTGCAGGGACAATGAATGGGTTGATGAATAATTTGATATATATTTTTTAATTTTTAATATTTTAATTATACTGTAATATTTGATTGAGTAAAATGAAATTAATTTTTTAATTAAACAGTCAAGTTGAGTTACTTTATTTTAATTAATTGACTTAATATATTTGTTTCAATTTTACTAATTGGGATTTAGGTTTCCTTTATTTAACATAACAGAGTTAATTTCCCTTCAGGACGAGAAATTAAAATGAGAAAAGGGGGAAAGGCCACCTTTTTAGTAGGGCCCAAAAAATATGGAGATGAAAAAACAAAAAGGAGGAGAAAGTGCCACGGTGGTGGAAAGCGGACCACTGTAAGCGTTCAGCATGCAAAAATTGGGCAACTAAGTTTGGAGTTAGAACTTAGCACTTAGCATATTGCTTAAGGTGATATGGCGTTATGGGTTAAATTTTAGGTAATTTATCTAATTGAAAAGGGTTGCAGGGGTGATTCGTTTTTTTAATTTGAGAATAAATTTATCTCTCTTGCATAACTTTAGAGTAAATTTAGTCATTTTACCTGTAACAATCTTACCTTAGCAGCTAAACTGCATCAATTCCACTACTGAAATAAGGATAATTTATTTGCCCCACATCATTTTAAAAATTGTGACAAGTCAATTAGTCCGTTGGGAACAATAAGATATCATGGCAACTTGATTTGATTATGCATGCATGTCTACTTCCACCAATCCAATGTATTTTTTTTTTTTTTAGATATAGGAAATTTTGGGAGAAAGGATGAGAATTTTTAGAGTTGAACTTTAATCCAATGTTATTTAGGTTTCAACCCCCTCCCTTTAATTTCTAACTTAATTTGATTTAACATATATAGATTTTGTATATGTATACTTTTTACATACATTTTTA